ATGTAGTTTTCTTGATACATAGTGCATGAATGTATTGAGATATAAGAGGGTATTTCCTGATTGCACAGGAAATTGGGTATTCATGCTAAGAATACGGAAATACCAAATATAAGTACATAAACACATGCAGGACAGAGTTCATGTTGATCCAATAATTTGTATTGGAAATCTGTACTCAAGTCTATAATCTAGATCTATATATACCATTCGTGTACCTGTATATGTTGGTTATGGTTATGGGGAGGGTCTAATTTGATTAGGTTATTAATTTTCTTCTCAATGTCTTAAACTTTGCTGGGGGGGGGGGGGGGCTGGTAGATCATTTTTGAGGGGGGTCATGAGACCCGTCTAAAATCTTGTAATTAACCAGTTTTCCTAGGTTTGTGAAGATGACAGGTCAGTGAACACATGTAAGCTGGCATTATTAAACTCTAATTCGCCTTAGATGATATTCAATAAATAAATTAGAGGGAATGTTCAATAAACATGAAACCCCCTCCAATAGGTTAAATATTAATAAGAGGTATACATGTATAAGTAATGTATCACTGCTGTATTGAACATGTTCAGATCTCATAATCCACTTAAAATCAACAATTGAATTGTGAAATATGATCAGGTGCATTTACTGGTAGAATGTGTTTTCACTATCATAGACTCTTAGATATTTGGGACATGATTTCTTCAGAAATACATTGAGTGATATTGACATTGCTCTGTTTGGAGAATTAAGGGAATTGCTTGTGTTTTCTTGTTGTTATTGTTTTATTATGCTCACTGAAGCTAAAATAGAAGCAAAGTGGTTTACTGGTAGAAATATGTGATTATTATCATAGACTCTAAGATATTTAGGACATGATTTCTTCAGAAATACATCCAGTTATATTGAAATTGCTATGGTAGAGAATTAGGAAAATTGTTTTTTTTTCTTGTTTTTTTAAATTGTTTATAAATTACGCGCACTGAAGCTGAAATTGAAGTAAATTGAATGAATTGAGAATAAGGACTGGAGTTTAGCTGGGAAAGGGCCATGAATATGGTCAAAGTTAACCTCTCGATAAACCCCATGCTCTTGCCCAAACTGTCGCTAGGCGTTCAGCCGTAGGTATGGACAGACTGCATGTACAGTGAATCGTACCTACCTCGGCTTTTGTTACCTGAGGGCTCGGGAATATTCACATGTTGGATTTATTTGTAAGGCGATCGCTCCACGCATACAAATCAAATTTATCCCTGCAAATTCTCCCCTTAACCCTTTAACCCCCAGACCCAAACCCCAAGCAAAGTCAACCATCTGCAAACACCCCCCCCCCCCTTTTCTCTCTCTCTCTCTCTCTCTCTCTCTCTCTCTCTCTCTCTCTCTCTCTCTCTCTCTCTCTCTATGTAGTATCATTCACAATCACATTATGCTTTTGATTATGCTCGTTTGGCGGAGGAATTTGGAAGTCACATCTGGGCTTGTTACACGATACGCACAAAAGGGGTAGTGTTTCTTTCGGGAAGGCAGGTACGATCGATCGGTGGGAAAAAAGTAAGGAACGTGATTTTCATGTTAGTGGAACTACCATAACAACATTGTTATAGCATGGTGTTGTGCAAGTCAGTAGAATTGCATATTAGAAATCTTCCCTGCATGAATAAAACCCCATGAAGATTTGAAATAGGGAGTGAAGAAGGAATTTTTTTTGTGAAGAAGGAAAGTTATTAGGGGTGTCTCATTATTAGCTTTGGGAAAGTTAATGTGATTTTTACCCTTAATTTGCATCAACAAATTTAGAATATGGTAGGTAGTGCATAAAAAGAGATTGATGCTTAAAAATTGATTATTTATATCGTCCTTATTTTCACGAAGTGACGGTAGTGAGGAAAATCGTAACGCAAATTGAATGCAATTTTTTTTCACTACCGTCACTTCGTGAAAACAGCGATGAATGTAGTATGTATTAGAGTTATACCGTGACGTAATCTTGTATAGAAAAAAATTTAACTCATTTTTAGCCATTTTTTGGTTTTACTAAATAAGGTACAAAAACTTCAATTTTATCTAAAGGAGTCCAAAAGTCAATGTTCATGAAGGAACTTGGTGAAAGTTCAAGCGAGGTATAAAAGTGTTTTATTTTGCAAACAAGTCGGCCATATTTTAGAAAAAATTGTCAACAGAATGAACCCTGTAAAATCCAAGTACCATGTACACATCGTGTTAATGTATAGTTTTATGTAGTTTTATGGATGTATCCTCCTTGTTTCTTTTGAGCAAGCGAAACTACTGCAGTGTCAGTGTAAATCACTCTCATCGTCTAATGGCCAGGCCTTACAAGACAATTCTGAACTCTCATGGGTATTTGTTTCTCATCTTTCAATAAAATTGTCTGTGGTTTGGCACTTGTTTGAATGTGTTCATCTATCTTCCATGGTCCATTGGAGCTTAGGTTGTAAATATTTACAAGGATTTAGCATGTAGGCATAAGGTAAGGTGTTTTTTGCAGACTTTTTTTAATGTATTACGGTAGTCTGTTATTTGAGATCTGTGTATGGTGTAATATAGGTAAAGAGAATGCGCTTGGTGAAAAATGATTTAATACTCTTGGGTGACATTGTGGTGTGTTGTTTGAAAGGATTAAAAGAGTAATTCCACCTTTGTAATAAGCTGCGGGCTAGTTCTAAGGTTGCTGTAAGCAAGAACTACGACCATCTACGATCTTTAATTAGATTGGTGTATGCAACTGCAAGCTTTGATTTCTATAAGGGAAGTTCATTTGTGTGAAAATAAGAGAAACAGGGTGGCAATAATTTGAAAGAAATCAGATGAATGATCAGATATTTATGAATGTTTGAAAGGTGAGATTACTAAATCCATTTGATCTCAAATATTGGACAATTAGGTCATTAGATTATGACATTTCATCCAAATTGTTCCTGTAGACTTGTGTTTATAAAAACAAATATTTATTATACATTTTTCAATGATCTTAAACATGAATGGTTCAAATTAGAAGCTATGGTTTATAGGAAAAGAATTTTCATTCTATAATTTTTTTTAAAATAACGTTTCTGTTTGTATAAAGGGCCCTATGAACTTGCCTGAGTTTCTCATACATTCTTTAGTTTAGTTTAGCGTCCCTGCCCGCTTCCTTTTTGGGGGCCGCCTCCTATTTTTTTTTTTTTTTTAATTTTTTGAAAGAAAAAAACATGAAAAACACTGCTAAAATGGCTCTATTTCTGACTTTAAAAAAAAAAAAATTGTCGGCGGCCATCTTGAAAAAAAATAGCCTCGACTGTCAGGGAAAATGTACCGAGCGGCCATTTTGAGCGGCCATTTTGAAATAAAAAATAAAAAGGGCCTCCTCCTTCCTATTTTTCGAAAAAACAGGACACTAAACATGTCTTTTTTTTATTTGGCCTTATTTAGGTAAATACAAGCATAAGGATACCAGCTTAACGATCGATACCCATAAGACCTCACAAATATTATCTCTCTAGCTTCATTTACTCAATGGCACCAGAAGTCTGAAGCTTAGACACTGGTATATTGCAAAACGCTGTGCAGCTATTTTCATTTGCTGTGTTCATATTTTTATAAAGTTAGATGAGAGTAATATCATATTCCGGTTCGTCTTTCACGTTTGTCTGACTGCAGATCGTCATATCGTCAGATCATGTAATAGAAGAGAACGAGAGATCCCCCAAATTGATGAGGCTGGAATTGCTTTTTCTTCCATGCTTGCATGGCGGCTAGAGGTGAAAGTCTCCAACATAAATCCTTTGCGATAATAAACACGGCCAGGCCCTCTATAGTGAGCTGACGATGTCTCTCATTACAGCAGAGTGTGGACTTTGTCCCCGCCCCTTCCTCATGTTCCCTCAACCCCCCTCTTGCCTCCTCCACTCTCAATCGCTGTCTAGACATCCGGACACTTGGAGTTGGTTAAAGGCCTTGTTAGGGTGTGAAGTAGTGAAGCCATGTGGGCCTTATATTTTTCATATTCATGTATAGGGCAACATTAAAAACACATGGCTGTTTTTCCCCGAAACTGTCTTAAGTGCAATTTCGCAGGCATCCTTTAATTAACGTTTTTCAAAAGTATGTCGGTGAACTGCAACTGTGATATCATATTTTTGTATCTACCTTTCAGTTAATGCTCTCTTCTCCTATACTCCTTTTTTTCCAACACTGAGTTAATTAGTAACTTGTGCCTCTGAATGTGTGTACGGATATATGGCGCCATAACATGTTATGAATCATCATAAGGAACCATAAAAGCTCATGTCACAAACATTTGTGATGCATTTATGTGCTGCTTACAATCAAAATGCAGTTAAGTTTTATATTAGAATTGCCACCTAGCTTTGTACAATGCACACTGTAGTCATTCTTGCATGACGGTGATCCCCTATGACTAAGCTCAACCTGTTTACGTGCAAATGACAGACCATAAATATTTTATCTATTCAACCTGAAACGCGAGTCGGTGTTTACAATAATCTTTGACTTTCGGTCATATTTTGTTCCACTCTTTCAATGCATATTGGATGTATACATTACATTTGTGTCTTTTTTTAAGGTTAAGGTGGTGCTCTGTGGTGATGTTCCATCGCTTGTCATGTTCGATAGAAAGTCTAGTTTGGGAAAATATGTTTTTGTTTTTTTTAAATAAAGAGGAATGGGTAGGACAGATAGATAAAAACAAAGGGAGAGGGATGGGAGGGAGGGGTGCGGGAGGGAGGGAGGGAGGGAGGAAAGGAAGGGGGGAGAGGGGAGGGGGTGCGGGAGGGGGTGCGGGAGGGGTGCGGGAGGAAGGGAGGAAAGGTTGCACTTCTGAATTTTGTTAGGAGGTAACTTATTCCAAATATTGTTACAGTATATTTTACTCCTTATGTTTCACTTAAGTTTATATGCTTTTGATTGCAAATCACTAATATTTTTGTCTCTCTCTTTCATTTTTATCTTTGCATATTTTCCTCCTGCAATTCATCCCGCTTTGTGACTGTTCATTATTCAGGTAAGTCAAGATCTTGTTATTTTATCAGATTGAGATGGGGAAAATATTTTGAGGAAAAAAGAGGAATTAGGAAGAAGTAAAGTATACTGATAGAGAAGAGAGAAAAGGAGAAAGACATACAGATAGATAGAAATAAGGAGAGAGAGAGAGAGAGAGAGAGAGAGATAAATAGAGAGAAATAGAGAGAAATAGAGAGAAGGAGAGAGAGAGAGAGAGAGAGAGAGAGAGAGAGAGAGAGTTGGGTGAGCGTGATGAATCACATCTTGTAACAAAAATACTTATTGGGCACTTCAACCGAACAAAAGATTCACTAAAGATGGATTTTAAGATGAAGACAAAGCCACAACGAAGAAGACGAGGAATGAAAAAGGGCGAGAACATGATGATGATGATGATGATGATGATGATGAGGCAAGCAGCTAGCATCCAGACACAAAGACAGACATCATCGGTGTTTGGTTGTGTCATCTATTTACTCTGTATTCGCTTACCTTGTCCCCATCGACTGGGTTAGTTTGCTCAGTGGTGGCGGCGAACTGTAGGCAGCTAGGCAGACAGCCACGTAATGGCAGCACTTAACCTTGTCTATATACACGCATGCAAATGGGAGAACCATTTTGAATGTATGTGAAGATGCTGTTTGATGGTGATGTGATGTAGGAGGATGGCATCACTTTGCCCATCTTCCAGGTCCGTGTGGTATAGTGATGGCTTCCTTGTAGGAGTGTGCAATACCGGTAGGCCATTTTCGTAATGTAACCAAATTTAATATGTAAGCCTTTGTGGAGTGCCTCGATACAGAAATGACTTCCCCTCCTAGCAACACTTAATATATGCAGTTTGCATTCTGACAATTGAAATACTAATCAGGTGAACAAAATAATTTGTATTTCAAGAGGCACTTCACAAAGACTCATGTATTAAATCTGGTTTCATTACGAAAATGGCCTATTGGACTGAATGTGTGTTGACTATAGAAAATTAATAATCTGGCAAAAATTGAAAAATTATCCTATTCATGTGTTTCTCGATCTTTACAAAAACAGACACCTTTAATATCAAAAGATAAAACACTTCAGTTAGAGATTTTTAATTTTCATATTAAACTATTCTAAATTGATTTACAATTATTTAGTCTACAAACTTGACGATAATATAATTGGCTTATAGATAATTGGCTCAAAAGAAAGTAATACATTCTTAAAATATAGCATGCTCTGTAAATTCATAGTATGCCTAATCCCTAGCCATTCAAATTTAATAGATGTTTCACGGTTCTCACCATGAATGTATTTATTTATAATATGCAAGGTTTAATTCAAATTGCACATTTTGTCCCCATGATTGGCGTTAATTGGCCTTTGTAACAGTCACAGTTAATAAATAATTTGTCAAAATGAGTTTACCTCGCAGTGCCAGATTTTATAATTTATGAAAGTCACCTCGCTTGGCTGTGGACCTATACCTATGACATCATCAAGTCAGAGAAAAGGGGATTGTGAATGAATAGAGCCCGTTTTAGAGGGAAGCGGTTTCCATGGAAACTTACATCACGATTCGCTTTCATCAATGGATGAATGAATGAGCTAGTGCCAGAATTATTTGACTCATTCTGTGCATAGGCTTTTTTTGCAGACTGTATTTTTACTGTGAAGTAGTATGATGTATTTTATTTCAAAATGTATTTAATGTATTCAAGCGATAGGTGTATAGTATGTTTACCCCTTTGCTGTTAAGTATGAACAAGTGTAAAAGCTCTTTACACCAAGCAGTTATTCAATAGTATTTTTATATTGTGAATGAAACATTGAAGATAACAGGCTGCTTTCATTTGAACTAGTTTTAATTAAGGTAAATCTGATGGGTTTTCATGAATATAGGCACCGTATTCAGTGGTTAAAAGCCCCACATGGTCAATTTTGTGGAAGGTTTTAAGGCAGACTATGTTTGGTCATGTAAGACTACTTTTCTTTGGCTTTGGTCCATGATGTTTTCATTCATTCATTCCAATTTGTGTTGAGTCATTCAGCATCACCGTAATTGTACATCTCTCTTGCTCCCCTCCCTCCCCCCCCCCCCACCCCTCATAAATTGACATTTCAAGGATGGGTGAGCGAAAAAACGAGGCGGCACGACAGCGCTGTCCAAGACTAATTTGGAGGTGTTCTCGTCCCGATGGTGTCCAGTTATAGTTCTGTGTGTATCATCTGGCCTTAGCAGATCAAATCTAATTATTACAACGTTGACGTCAACTCATCCGCGGGATTGAACACAACACATCCTTATTAATTTAGATTGTCTCATTGTCTCATATTCAAGGCTGTTGTTTCAGTCGATGGTTTCAGTATACATCCATCCTCTTGTTTCTTGGAATGAGATGTCAGAAGATTGATGACTATTTTCATAGTTGGCTGATGTTTGATTATCCAGTTTCTGATTAATCAACTGCGAAAAACTGCTCAGATTATTCTGGCTGCATTTCATTTTGTGGTTAATAATGATTGGCATTTGTATTTTGGGGCAATTGTCCTAATTTTTGGCATTTTTAAATTTAACCAATGAATAACTCAATTTGTGTTATGAATTAATGTGGACATGCTAAAAACATTTAAGTCAATATGTGAAAATATTGATCAAACCAAAATAATTCAGATACAAATGTAAATTAAAGTCACACTTACTTGAGCAACAAATAATATGATAGAAAATGAAGTTCATTTAAGTATGCAATATGTCTGAAAAAGTGCAAGGGTTATCAAGTTAATACTCAAAACAATATGACTGCTAACATCAAAAGTCAATCTGCCAAATTTATATTGAAAACAAATTCCTATTGCATTACTGATTACAATACATTTAAAGCACTTAAAGATTTATCATAACCAGGATAAAAATAAATTTGATTAATGATTGTAGTGATTATCTGTATAAATGTGTTTGCTTGTGAAAATACAATAATACATTACAAGATGCAAGGAAATCAGGGGAAAAGTAAGGAAATATATTATATATCTATAATGTATGCCAAAAATGCATGTATGCATATCACAAAAATGCCATACTGTATCTGAGACAGATTCATGCTAAATCTTGGGGGGAAATCAGTCATTTTTATCACTTTTTAGGGAATGAGATCTTAGATGAGTCATCACATGTCTTCCAACCATCTCTCTGTTATCTCTTGAATCAAACATCCTGAGGGGGGAATTAGGCAAAGCAACATTTGGAAGTGACGTCCAAGCCTGTGACAAGATGGGTTAGAAGATGCTGGATGCGGAGTACTGCATGGCGAGGAGATAGCATCAGTGGTATAACTTGAAGAAATGAAGACGGATCTGGGTTGCCTTCAGGTGGAGGCTAATTATTCAAAATCTTGAATGCGAGATGCATCGAGGCAATGTCTGCCTTGCTTGAAATATGATTTAATTTGGGGGTCGTTTGTGTAAAGAGTGAAGACTATGTGCAAAATGCTTTACTGGTGGACAGGCAGAATTGGATGATTTGTAGGATTTTTTAGATTTTTTAGAGGAATGGATTATGGATCAGATGTTCTGTCAGAAAGGTCATTGGTGCCAACATTTCTGTACTTAAGAATGAATATGAACTCAAAGAACCTAAAGTCAAATGTGAATCTTATTCTGGTGGTTATCGAAAGTGGGAAAAGATACATGAGTTCTTGAATAGAGAAACAAGAACTATACTAGGTTTGAATTAAATTATGCAAGTGTGGTTTATTTTGTCTACAAAAGTATTAGGGGATTTAGAATTGAGTTGTAACAAAGAAACAAACTAAAGATGTTAACAATGGTTATATTGGAACTTTATGCTATGAGCCGGAAATAGGTTTAATCATATTGTTACTGGCCTTATGGCTTTCAGCAGGTAATATGTGTACTAAAAGAAAATGGATAGGATATTATGGTTAATAAATTGTACAAAGAGTTATTGAAATTATGGTTTTAGTTATAATCATAAGATTTGTTGAATACTTCCTGATGAGAACATGAGCCATGTAAATTTGTGCAATGAAAAAAAAAATTAAAAAATTCTATGTCTAAAATGTTGATCGCTCAAGCAGCGGTATTAAGAGAGTCTGAAGGACAGACTAATGATTATATTGACTTCTGTATGTACAGTACAATTCATGTCATTACCCTTATAGATTTACTCATAGACTCTAAGTCTACTGTACTAATGATGGTCATGTAGGCTAAGCCAGACAATTAATCTTGTACAATAATGCCACCAGTATGTCATCCTTCCCGTTAATGAAAAACTAGTCTTCTTACCCATTGAACCATTTTGGTTGCTTATCATTCCATGTAACAATGACATTGATTTCAAAATTTTGACTCGGCCCTAATTAAAATGCACCCAACCTTTGGTCATGTGTACATATATTGTCCAATCATCCCCCCTAAACAGTTACAAAATGCACTCATTAAAAAAATTAAAATATTAAAATGGAAACAAGTTTGTTTATACAGGAGACAATATTCTTTAACCCAAAGCTTTCCAATATACATTTTCAAGCATTCCTACATATATTACCCAGCTATTTCCATTACTTTACTCATGAATGTCAAGTAATTTAACCCCTTGCATATGGGAAACGAGTGGCCCATGTATAAAGCCTATGGTAATAAGAGAATGCAGTACCCAATGGGTTATAGTAATAAAAGGATGCCACTTCAGTGCTGTATGATTGCTTCTAAAACCATACACATGATTTTTAATATCAAATATTTGCATGAACAAACTTGACCTTTCCCCCATTCGTTCTCCCACAGCGTCTGAATGTACTGGCGATATTGTTATACAAACATTAATGGTTTTCATTGGGTATATAAGCGCTGCACCCAGGCCCAATCAATTCTTTGGTGTTGTAATATTATTAAGTTTTGGGGGAAAAATCAATATCTAGATGTGGCAGGACTTGCTTGCATGGTGCTTGAAGATTACCCTGATTGCTTGTATAGCTGAAAGGCTGTTTTCTTAAAAGGGGAATGGAGAAATGTCAGGGTGGAAACTGGAAAATAATAAAGCGCACAAGTGTTTTAGGATTTTGATGATGTAGGAGAGAGAAAGGGGTTGGATAAACGGAAA